GTCGGCAAAAATACTTTCACTTCTACAGGAGGAGATGCCTGCAGTTCCTTCCAGTTTCCATTTTGCACCTACAGCCTTCTTGAACTCCTCTGTCCTCTCCCTCATTTGAGAACTGAAAGTTTAACTACATCCATCACACTTTCCAGACTGTTTTTTTCCCTTAGGATCAAAGCCCTGTCTCACAGTGCAAGAGCCTGAAGTGAAATTAAGAAGTGGCAAGCTCAAAACCAACATTCAGGGGGTTTTAGTCGCAGATGGAGAGTGACTGAATTGGGGAACTCACTGTTAGAAACATTCTGATCAAAACTGACATATTATACCTGAGGTGTAAACACGGCTACAACCAGCCCGATCTTCAAATGGAGGATCCTCAAATTTGATCCTCAAATTAAAGAAATTTGAGGAAAAATAAGAGCTTGAAAAGCCACCTCGCTCCTTAGGCATCAAGACAAGTGACAGCACATGGAAACCACCAGAGAGCAATTGGATGGGGCCAACTGCCCAACGCCTGCCCAATTCAGGATGAAAAGACATCAGACTGACCAAGGAGACCCAATCTGGCATCCCAAGTCAAGACCACGAAGAGCATCAGCTCAGGTTTGACCAGATGACGACTCCAGTCCCCGTTGACAATCACACACTCTGCACCCTCTTGCTGCACCCCGTGCCAATTTTTTCGGTGGTTTTCTCACATCATCGTTGAGTTTTGTTGCTACTTGAGTGACATGGCTAAACCAATGACATCATCTACACATCTTAAGAAAGGGTGAGCCCATATCCTGTCTTCCACCTGCGTTAATGGAATATATACACACACTTTTTAATTTAAGTTATGGTCAGAAACCACAGTGAAGGTTGGGAAAAAAAAAACAAACCCACACCTACTCCAAATTAACTAGGACAGCACAGAAGCCCTTATAAAAAGTCCATCAGCAAATGAGCCTGATCACCTTCAGTTCGACAGAGCCCAGCACAGGCATCGGCTGCAGTAAGAGAAGGAAAGAAGATGTCTCCAGTCCTTTGTGCTTCTCTGGTAAGAACTTGCTTTCTGTTGTTTTTTTTTCCTCCAAGTTTGACAGAGATATATTTAAATTTTGTCAGAAATGGGGAATTTCACTGACTTGAAAATGATTGTTTAAAGCATTCATAACGGAAATTAACTAAAATTGGAGATTTCTGAACAGCACCAGCATGGGGCAGCAATGAGGCTGAGTGGGTATATCAGCCAAGTGGGCTACTGAAACATATTTTGAGTCAAGAATTACCTTGACAACTCAACCTTAGGGTCTTTTTTTTGTTATATCCTTTCTGCTGTCTCCTGTGTTAGATTATCTTCTGCCATTTAATTTTTTTTTCATCATCAAATTACAACTCTTTACCATACCTGTAAGAATTAGTCAATCAAAGCAAGAGTGGATGGGACACATGGGACATCCCTCCATCGTGACTCCAAGCTGCAGGATGAGCTTTGACTACCAGCTAGGCTGAGCATGGATGAATTTCCATGCACGAGAGAGCTGTTGAGCCTGTACCTGCCTTGTGTCCTAAATGCAATCATTGTCTTCAGCTCAGATCACTGCTCTTCATGCTGCTGGCCATGCTGTCAGCCAGCACTTCAGCCTACGGGAAGGGGATAGAGCCCGGACTCAGGGCAGAGAACCTCTTCAAGAAAGCATACGCTGGATGCCCGACCCAAAAAGACTCAAAATTCCCTCAGACTGTGAGAGTCAACATAAGCATCAGCAACACCAACCAGGACACCAAAGCGAGCCTGGATGTCAGCAGCCGCTCTCTGGCTCCATGGGATTACAGGTATGATCTCAGGCCTTGTGGTCTAGAAATACACTGGCTGCAAAGGTCAAGAATTATGCTGAGGTTACACCCACATCTTTTATCTTCAGTCCTTTGCTGTTGGGAGCTCTTGGAAATAAGGGGCTATCCACCATCCATATAATCCTCTTTGAAAGATTACCAATACAGAAGGGAGCACAGAGCAAATACATGATCTAGGACAACATACAGAAGGCAAAACAAATTATTTTACTAATTTAATTTATTTATTTGTGTATGGGAGCAAGTGTTATCATGAAAAATACCTCAGAGGGTCAACATTACACCCGATTCAACGGTGGTTTAATAACATCAGCATCAGGCCCTATGAATGTTTCATGGTTTTAGGCAGAGCTGAAGGTCCTTGGTTCCATTATTCAGTCTGACATGTTGGGAAGGTCAAAGAATTTCTAACCAGTCTTTCAAAGTCAGTGTCCATTTGAAGGAAGTTCTTTGCAAAGGCAGTTGCATGGAGTCCTGGCATGCTTGTCTAACACTTCCAAACTTGCAGTATTTATACACACTTTATTTCCTAAAAAATCTACCGTGGTGGAAGGTCTACTGCCCCTTCATCAGTAATCTCCCAGGAGGAACAGGTTCCAAAGCTGGGAGCCTATAGTGATCCTACCACGTCTCAGGAGATGCAGCAGCATTTCCATTTGAAACCCTTCCTCCCCTGCCATCTTACAGGATCGATGAGGACCACAACCGCTTCCCCCAGATGATCGCTGATGCCAAGTGCCGCCACTCCAGGTGCGTGACCTCCAACGGGCAGCTGGACCACAGCCTCAACTCCGTCCCCATCAAGCAGGAGATCCTCGTCCTCCGGAGGGAGAAGAAGGGTTGCCACCAGTCATTCCGACTGGAGAAGAAAGTAATCACTGTGGGCTGCACGTGTGTCACCCCCTTGATCCGACACCAGGCTTAAAGCAGGAGCAGGGAGACATGGAGAAGAGATGATCAGCAATGAAATGAAGGGCCCACGTTCAGTCTCCATGAATTAAAAATTGAGACATCCCATTTAAAAAAAATATATATCTATTTTTCAAAAAAAAATCTTGAACTTTATCAATTTGGAATCTGGACACCTTTATGTGCTTGGTGGAAAAAACAATGGGAACTCTTTACACATCTTTAATTTACACTTTGAAATGCCTATTTATGTAATTCTATTTATACTGATGGAGAAGTTGGTAATAATGTATCTGTTTATTTATCTTTGCGTAATAAAAATCTAATAAATGACCTTGTGGTGTTCTCCTCTCTTTCTGAAGAAGTCTTTTTGATAAGGCAAGAAATCAACTCATTCAATTATGACCATAAAGGTGATCTGCATGGTGCTAAACCCTAAAATTCTCTTGATAGAGATTCTCTAGCTCTGCTGCACTGGAACAGAAAGCCCGCAGAAAAAATAGAGGTTGTATCATCACCACCATTTTACTGATAAAATAAGATACCTGAAGGAAAATTATTTACCTAGTGACACCCAAGAGATTCACATTAACGACAGAGCAGCAAAAGAAGCAGCAGGCAGCTAGTTACCCAACTGACTGGAAAGGAATTTGCAACCAGTGATTTCTTTGGGGGTAGAGAAACTCCCTGCCCTAAAATGGTGAGGACACTTCCACAGCTGAGGTTTAACTTTGAGCCAATGTCACCTGTGACTTTCAGTCTAACCCTTTGCAACACCTTTTCTGCAGAGCAGGGTCTCTGGTACACGAGGAAAATCACATGAGGGAGCTGAGTGGGTCATTGGAATGATTAACCACATACTGCCAAAACCAGTCATGATTCTCTCCATCCTGGTGTCCTTCCAACATGTTCACTGCCAGCAGCACTTCTCCCATGACCACGAGGGGACTTGTGAGGGTGGGGGTCTACAGCTGCAGGTGGGTTGATGTAAAGCATGCTTGGGTTAAAAAAGCAAGGGATAGAAGGGACCTCTGGGGATCATCTCATTCAAACCTCCTGCTCCAGCAGGTCACCCACAGCAGGGTGCCCAGGATCACAGCCAGGTGGGTTTGGAATCTCCAAACCTGGAGCTGCTCCAGGCTCTGCCACCCTCACAGCAGAGAATTTTCTCCTCCTGCTCAGATGGAACCTCCTGGGTTCCAGTTTGTGTCCATTGTCCCTTGTCCTGTCACTGGGCACCACTGAGCAGAGTCTGGCCCCAGCCTCTTGACTCCCACCCCTTAGATATTGATAAGCATTTATAAATAATAAGCATTGATAGGGAAACATTAATTAAGTTATTAACTACTGACTACAGTATCTGCAATCACAACGATGAACCTCTGTCCACATGTTTGGTTGCCTTCAAACACTGATATAACTTCACTCATAGGCAGGCATCTAGTAGTAGTTGTGATCCTAACTTATCTCATTTCCTACCTTATCTCCAGCTATTCTTCCTTAAGGTCTCCTGCAGATCCTGAAGTTCACCCAGCTGCCCGTCCCAAAAATATTAGGCAGGGGAACAGACGGCCAAAAAAACCCAAACCAAACCAAAAACCAAAGAGTGAGGAGCACTCATCCTTTGAGGTTTTCAGAGAGCTATAGAAATACCACTCCAGGAAGACTGCAATAGAGCTGCCTGCCTTGTCCATCAGATAACCTCTCAACGTCCTACCACTTGCTACAGCAGCCCAGGTCACTTCTAAGCCCCAATCTTTAGTACCTGGCAGTGATGTGCCATTAGCTGGAGCTGGCACATGAGCAACGGGGACTAGGTGACAATGCTGAGACAGCTGCAGTGTGGAAAAAGTCAGAACCAGGTCAGCAAGGGATGACGCAGTCGGAGTGCCCAGATGCTGAAGGCTCTCTGCTCACGGGCTGTGAAGATGCTCTGGTCCCTCTCCCAGCAGTGCCATTCTCCCTTGGTCTATCTACTGACCAAATTAAGTCTGCCCCTTAGGACACAACCCTTTCTGATTTACATGACCTCATGCCAACTTCATGCTCAGCTCTGCAAGCTGCTTGGAGGTTGCACTTGCTGCTGCAGAAGGGTTTAACAGCTTGATCACCTGGATTCATTTCACCTCAGGACTGTTTTCTTTGTTGCTGCAAGTTCTCTTGTAACTCCTGGCATCGTGAGCCAAGAGGTCTTCCTTCAACATGGCTGTGTTCTGCTGGAAAGGTGCAGAATAGCTCCAAATCAGTGCACCCTGCCATGAGGTCACCTAATCAGTGCCATTTTTTTTTCTCTGGGCAAATGTTCCTGACTATAGTCAGGAATGACCATGTTAGGAAGCCAGAGGGGGACCCTTCCTTCACCCATGAACACCTATCAGTTTGGGGTTCGACAGGTGAAGCTGGATCTTTCTTGTTTTGAGGAGTTTCAGTGCAAATTCCTGCTTATTTGATGTCCTTTAATGATGTCATCATGTGAGGGGAAGGGGAAGATTGCTGCCAAACCCTCTTCAACACAAAGATTTCCAGTCCAGCACTGCTCCCTGCCATAATTTCATGTCAGTTTGTAAAATCTGAGCAGCGGCAGCTTAGCAGCCAGATTGTTGAGAAACTCTGAGTAAAACCCAGCAGAAAGGCAAGTCTGAGCCTGGATTTGTGTAGCAAATAATCAGATAACCACATTCATCATTGCCAGTTATCAAAGCAATCTGGACAGATATCAGATGCTTGTAAAAGGTGATACAGATTCAACTGTCTGGTGATCCTCACCAAGTGCAGGAGGCCAGGGGTACTAAAATAAAAAGCAAACCCCCAAAATTACAGAAGCAAGTTAGAAAGAAGATAAACCATCTCTATTCATTTACTGGAACAGGAACCTTGGTCATGACAGAAACATATTGTGCTTGTTAAGAACTCAGATAAAACAGAAGCACACAACTTTGTACTGGTAAAACCACCAAAACTCACTCATAGAAAGCTGTGCCCAGAAAATAGTATTTTGAGTAGAGCCTACCGAGGCTGTGACTCCAGAAAAAGCATGAAAGAGATTTTTAATCTTTTGTTGAAGTTACATTAAGAAAAAAAAAAAATGAGGAAAACTGTGGAAAAACTGAGCTAGCTTCCCAAAAGAAAAATAATCATAGAATGGTTTGGGTTGGAAGGGACATGCAAGATCATCTAGTTCCAACTCCTCTGCCATGGGCAGGGACACCTCCCACTAGAGCAGGTTGCTCCAAGCCCCATCCAACCTGGTCTTCAACGCATCCAGGGATGGAGCATCCACAACTCCCCTGGGCAATTTGTGCCCCACCATCCTCACAGTGAAGAACTTCTTCCTAATTTCTAATCTAAATCTCCCCTCTTCCAGTTTGAACCCATTACCCCTCGTCCTATCACTACAAACCCTTAAAGGTTTAATTTAAAGGGTAAAATAAAAGTAATGGATTTATCTGAGGAGCTGAAGAACTGTAGATGCTGCCACCATCCAGCTCTGGAAGTGTGGAGAATAATGAACAAAGAGAGAAGATGTTTTTGTGAGTAGCAAAGACAGAAAGTGTGGCTTGTTTCTGACCCTTGCTGACATCTTCTCAGCTCCTGAAAGCCAGCACCAAGCACAGAGCTCCATCCCCACCAACAGCCCTGCCAAGGAGTATCAGGCAACCACAAACACTTTAAGCAGGGTTTTGCTGTAGAAGATACAGACTTGACTCACTCCTCTAGATGTTTCTTATGCACAAGGTTAAAAATAATCTCCCAGAGCAAAGAAATAAGAGGAAGAATGAGGAGGAGATGAAAGAAGGAGATCAAGGCAAGTCTCCCATTTTACCCCGTGATGGTGACACAGGAGCAGGTTTCTTGTCTGATCTGTCAGGCCAGCTTCCAAGACAGCCAGAACTCAAGCTGATAAGGAAATTCAACCCATCAACTATATCATCATGCTGGCACTGAACCACAGGCCCCCACAGGGCTGACCAGAAAATTGCTCATCCCCTTAAAATTCAGTCTATTAGGTCCAGCTCTCACCAAGTCACGTTGTACTCTGGGTTATCAAGCCATTGCTCCTCTGGTTTACCAAACACAAACACAAAAAATTATTGGGTGGTTGTTTGGTTTTGGTTTTGTTTTTTTAATCTTTTAGGTTGCAGCTTTTGCACTATTTATATATTTAATTTCTGTTCACTTTTGAAAGCAATGATTTTGTGGAATAGGCTGACCTGCTCTGCAGCCCCTTTGAACACCCCCAGCAGCATCAGCCTGTTGTCAAAGGTCCAAAGAAGCCTGACTCTCACCTTCAGGCCAATGAATGCAGAGAGCAAAGCACGGGTCTGGAAGCAGGCATCTACCCAGGCTCACATCACTGCTGCACCTCCCAGCCCATGCTAACACAGGGCTCTCTGCAGTATGGTCCCTCCAACACCTCATGAGAGCTGCTACACAACGGAATCCCTGCTTGAGCTACCAAACCAGGCACAGCCAAGGGGAGGACTGAGCAAGAGAGCAGGGAAGGGAGGTTAGAGAGAGGCAGGAAGAAGAGGAAAGGAGTGAGGGAGGCCATGAGGCTCAGGTACCCACCTGTGACTGTAGGTTGCTTAGGCTGTGTGAAGACACTGTGGGTCTGCTGCTACACCTGCAGCTGTGTCTTCTCCTGCTGGGAAAAAAACTGAGTGCCTAAAGGCTGCTCTAAGCTACATTTCACAGCCAGAGATGCTCAACTGGCCATCCAGGAGCTGGTCCCATTGCTGCAAGGGGCAAAAACACCCAAGCAAAGCCTTTAGCAAAGGCTTGTCCTCAACTGTGAACCGTACTTGCTCTTGGTGGTGATATGACTGTGCTGCTTACAAGAAGCATCCACTTGTTTGCCATGTTCTTAGATTGCTGGGAATGAAACTCAACCACCTACCTCATCACAAAAGCCAACACCTGCAAAACGACCAGGCTGGTATTTACCACCAGCTGCACTCTAAGAATGCTGCCATTGGAAGGAAATCACCCTCGCTGCTCGTTTTATTTAGCAACAATCCCCACGTCGAAGCTCCTGTCTTGCTGAGAGGTGTGTGGTTTGGAGCTGCTAGAGCTGGCTGCAAAACCTCATGACCCACGGATGAGACTTCCTTAATTAGCTGCCTTGAATTGCCTTAATTAACTACTTCACAGCATCTTAACTCTTAAGTTAAGACGATGAGTGTTAGGAGCGTCGGCAGAGGAGCGAACTCAACGCCAAAATAATTATGGCTGTAGGGTAGTTTTCTCCCCACAAAACAAGTGAGGACAACCCCATGAGCTAGATTTAGAGAGAGAGGAAGAGAAATAGGTCAGGAGTAAGAAGCAGGGTGTGCAGTGTGTGATTTCCTGGTCAGTGGTTACTGTAAGAGGAGAGCTGGTGTTACACAAGAGCGAGTAGAAGACGCCTCCATGGGTTTGTGCTCCACCACATGAAGAGCTTGGTGGTCATAACGAAACAGCTGCTGCCACAAATGAGTGGATGTGTTTGTCACTGAATGAGATGGTTTCCCCACCTTCCTACCCGTGGCTTGTTGAAGAGGCTCCCGGTGACCCACGGGGCAGGGAATACACCCAACTTGGCAAACAAGCACCAAGGGAGTCATTTCAACCTAACGGCCTGTCTGACCTACTCAGGGGAGGGAACTCAGAGTCTACCTGCTCCAGGTGGGGGTCGGGCTCTTCTCCCAAGTGACAAGAGATAGGACAAGAGGAAACAGCCTCAAGTTGGTTTAGGTTGGACATGAGGAACAATTTCTTCCCCTTGAGGGTTACCAAGCCCTGGAAGAGGCTGCCCAGGGCAGTGGTGGAGTCCCCATCCCTGGAGGTATTTAAAAGATGTGTAGATGTGGTGCTGAGGGACATGGTTTAGTGGTGACCAGGCCGTGCTGCGTTAATGGTTGGACTCAATGATCTTAAAGTCCTTTTCTACCCAAAACGTTTCTATGATTCTAATTTAAAGTGAAATTTAAAGTGAAATGAAATACAAAACTCCTGACGCTCAGGTTTGCCCTGGTTAAAACGCAGGTGGAGAAGGAAATACAGCCTAAAAACCTCCATGAGCAGGAGCCAAAGTCCGAGATCTGAAACTCTGGCTCAGCTCTGGATGAAAGATGAGTAAAGTCAAAAGAAAAGCAACACTGCAGCAATCTAATAAAATATTAATGAGTCTTGCTGGGCTGTGCTCCTTACACAGCCAAGGGAAAGGTCAGTTCCTCCATTCCTGAGTCAGGACACCTCAGCTCAATGGGTAAACCTGCTCTGGAGGTGTTTATTCCTTGATCCCTCAGCCTTCAAGGATCCTTATCCACCACTTTGAGCCCAACACCTAATATCTGGTTGGCTAAGAGGTGTTGAGATGAAGCCATCCTGCCTTGCTGCTCAGCCAACCACCCAGCTGGTGAAGAGAAGGTGGCCTACAAGGATGGCATCTTATCTGGCAGGGGATAGGCCAGGGCTTTCCCACCTCACACAAACCAGGCCAGACCTCCATCCCAAATTTTGGCTGCAGCCATGCAACGTGATCTCTCCCACCTCTTTCCCCCCATCCCTAGAGGCAATCCCCAAGGTCTAGAGAACCTGGCTCCATTCCCAACTCCCCCAGCACTGCCTGTATAACCTCACTTCACCACTTTCAGCCCTTTTTGGCATCTTTTCATGTATTTAGGCTGCAAGTTCTCTTGCCCTCCCTCTTACTCATGTCACTGCACCGGAAAAAGCCTGATCTATGCTGAAATCTCTCAGTGCTCCTGCTGTGCAAACCTCTGTCTGCTTTCATTTTGAGCTGCCAAAAACCAACATTCTTTTAAACAAAATACGGATTTTATTCGGTGGATAAGTTATTGAATAAATACAGAGAAACATTCACCCTTTTTTTTGGATATTCTGAGCACCCACAAAGCCATAAATACACTCATAAATAGCATACATAAATAGAAATATAAATACTTATTAGTTCCTTGTTGTTTTGATGCTCAAGGCAAGTGGATTCAATTCTCTCCCCAAATGCTCTGGAATAAATCTGGGTGGCACAAACCCAGGCAGGGATGAGAATCAGGTCTAGTGGCACATAGGTCAGATTTACACTAGTAACATGCTAGCGAGGAGGGGTGGCCAGAGAAGGAGAAGGGGATGGGGGGGATGAGGAAGGGAGGGAGAAGGTGCAGGAGGAAGAATTTTTTTGTAGCAGTGCTGCTTGGCACGTATCCATTAGGGTAATTCCCTGCCAAGGGCAACGTTTGAAGCTGTAATTCATTTGAGTCACCAAACTGATAGAAGCTGCAGTGTAAGAAACCCAAAACACTGCTTTACCCCCTCCCTGCTTGGAGCCACAAATAAAACTCTTCCTCCCTTCCCTTCTCTCCATCACCAGTGACCCCCACTCA